TCCTCCCTCTCTTCAACTGGATTCCAATAGTCTGTCCTGGTACTTGGATGTGGATCTCTATATCTGCTTCCATCAGTTACTGGATGATAGCTCTATAATTACAGTTAAGGTAGTCACCAATCTGATTATAGGGGAAGGCCATTTTGGGGACCCTCTCCACTATTGCTAGAGGTCTTATCTGGGGTCATCCTTGACACTTGCTCAACTATGTTCATAGTGGTATTATTCATAATAGCCAGAACCTGGAAATAGCCTAGATGCCCCTCAACTTAAAAATGGATAAAGAAAATGTGGTACATTTCCACAATGAAGTACTACTCAGCTGTTTAAAAAAAAGTAATAACATCATGAAATTTGCAGGCGAATGTATGGAACTAGAAAAAAATCATTCTGAGTGAAGTAATGCAGACCCAGAAAGGCACACATGGTATGTATTCATTCATAAGTGGATACTAGATGTAAAACAAAGAATAACCAGTCTACTATCCATAGATCCAGAAAAGCTAGGTAACAAGGAGGATCCCAAGAGAGACACATGGATAGCCCTGGGAAGGGGAAATAGATGAGATCTTCTGGGTAAACTGGGGGCAGGGAGAGTGGGAAAGGGGGAATGGAGGGTGAGAAGATGAAGGAATGGAATGGCAGAGCTGGGGGAGGGATGAGGTGGGAGAACAAGGAAAGAGATATCTCAAATAGAGGGAGCCATTACCGAACTAGGGAAAAAACAGATGCTACGGAAATTCTCAGAATTTCTTAAAAGCAACCACTCACCTCTGCAACTGTCTGAGCTGACAGCCCTCCTGGTTTACATCCTTCAAAAGATGCCCACAGTTTAATCAACCACATTCTCCCCTCAGAGGAATTCCACTGTCAAGTGGGATGTTGCCCCAGCCGGGTAACTAGACCCCAGTGATTATCTTCCTGTCAGAGCCTTGAGTCACCTAGGTTGCATGTGTCAACAGAGTTAAAAGCTCTGTTTATTTGCCTCCACAGACAGAGGTAGAAAAAGCATCTCTCACGGCCAGTCAGCCGCCCAGACAGCCATGCTACTCAGTAACCACTTGCTAAAGCTAACACTCTCTTGGCATGTGGTTCCCAGCAGATGAGTTACAGCGCAGTGTACACTGGGTTCATTCAAAGTGCCCGTGTTAGATCAGGAGGGACACCTCCCATACAACCATGGGAAGGGAACAGAATCCAGAGTTGGCATGTACGGTCCTAAATCCCTTAACTGTGCATCACACTGGATGCAATTATATTGTTGGGTCTCCACCTACAAAATGAAGACTTAAAACAATGCCTAGTCTTCCTGTGCTTTGGAGTTTAGTGAGAAATTAGCAACATATGACAACTCTCCCTCAACCCACATATAAAACTGTACATAAGAGAAGAAAATGAAACACAAACATTCCCTTGGTAAGTCAAGGATTTTAAATGTTGATTTTGAATAATCCTTTTCTTTGAAATACATAGCACAGGGCTGAGAGTATAGTTCGGTGGCAGAGCATACACTTAGCACGCAGACGGCTCTAGGGTCACCTGAACATTCTTTTTATTTGTACACAAATGGAGATTGTGAGGCAAGTACATGAGACTTGTGGCAGTCACTAAGGGAGGGAGGAAAAGGGAGAAGAAAGGAGGGAGAAAATGTAAAAAGCATTAGTCTACACTACCCAGGCCTATGAAAGATCCTGCTGGTCACTCACAGTTCTTCTCCCACATAAATGTCTACTTGGCTTTAAGGAATCTCTTTCAATGTAATATTCTAAGAAATCACCAATAATTATTTCTTTTAAAAATGTAATGTTGTTGAGAAGCAGTGGATTCAAGCTTATAGTCCATGTTAAATTCCTATTAAAAAATAAAGTCTCAGTTCTCTTTTGCAGTTTAACTTAGGTTCCCAAACAAGAGCCACTAGCTCTGCAGTTGACTTAAGAGGTCCCTTTGACAACTTAGCCTGGAATTACTCACACAGCTTCATTCAGCTAAGCCCTGGCTATAAAGACAAGAGGGTTCCATTCACAAGCCTGGCTGCTGGTGTTGCTTGTCAGCTGGGTGCCTCAGTTCTCCACAGGGTCTGGCATCTTGGAGAAGATGACACTGACTTTCCTTCAATGGCACCGCAGGGCAGCGTTTCGTGTGGGCAAGGACTTGGAAGGTGACCTTCAGAAGTCACGGTGCTCTGCTTACACTATTTGTACTGGTAGGAATGAGTCACTGAGGCGCTCTGGTTTGAGAGCGTACAAAAATATTCTGTTTCTGGATGGGAGGAGCAAGGGTGGCATGCACATGGGGATGGAAGCAACTTGTGACCGTGAAATGATCTATTAGTGCCTCTCTTCTTACTATAGTTTACTGATATTCCTTCAATATGTAAAGTGTGTCTATTCCAAACACATACCCCAAGGGTTTCAGTAACCATGGTATGTAACAGACTGTGCTAACACGTAACTGAGACAGTGGTAAACATTTCTCATCTCACAGAGTTCTATGAGTTCTATGAGTTCTATGATTCAGATAGTCAGTTACATGTCTTTGTCTTAGCATCTCTGGTGATGTCAGACAGAATATCAAAAGTGTGGTCATCTGCAAGTTTGAATGGTGCAGGAAGACCTACATTCAAAATGCCTTGATCATATGGTTGTGGACAAAAGGCTATGGCCCTCATTTCCCACACCTCCCCACAGAGCTCTATAAGTGTTCTTTCAGTGTAGATGCTGAATTTCCACAGAAAAATGGATACATTAAGCAAAGGAGCACCTTAAGCATCCCTTTGTGATGTTAGTCCAAAGATGCACATAGCTATTTTCTAATATCTCATGGATTACCCAGGCCAGACTTATGGTGGAAAGTTCCGTAAGAGGTTTTCAGGAGGGAAACTCTTGAACAGGAATTTTAAGCTCCATTGAACATTCTGGTAGAGAAAGGTCATCTACAAAGCACTACCCCACTCACAGTAAAAAAGCAGGGAACATGAACAAGGGTCACGGCTTGAGGGCAACGTTGACATCCAAATGATCACTCTTCAGAATCCCCAGCCCAAGGGTGAGAAATGCTCCATGATTGCAGGCCAGTCCTTTTCCTCGTGAGAGGCCTCTGTGTTCTCCTAGATCTTCACTCAACCCTCTGAGATCATGCCCCCCTTTCTGAAAGCCCCATCCGGTTTCCAAAGGAAGTAGCTCCTGAGAAGAATTCTCCAAAGGCAGTGCTTCCTTAGGAAATAATGCCGAGAACTGACAAGTGGGATAGGAAATCCAAAAGCTTCCACGCAGCAAAGGAAACGATAAGCAGCCAGCCTAACAGAAGGGGAAAAAGTCCTTGGCCAACTACACTCCAGACAGGGGTTATTAATATCTAGGCTATAAAAGGAGCTGCAAAAAATTGAACTCCAAAAATCCAAGTCATCTTATAACTAATAAACTGAATAGACAGTTCTCAAAAATAGAAATGCAACAAGAAGTAAATTCTTGAAAAAATGTTCATCATCCTTAGCCACCAGAGAAAAGTAATTAAAAGTAATTTGAGAGTCCAGCTCTCCCCTGTCAGAATGGCCATCACAAGGAAACAAATGACAACAAACACTGGTGAGGATGTGGCAAAAGAGGAACTCTTATTCATTGCAGTGGGGATACTGCTGAAACCAGAACTATCATATGACCCTGCCATACTACTCTTGGGTATATACTTGAAGAATTCTACAGGTGTATACCACAGATACACCTGTACATCTGTGTTTGTTACTTCACTATTCCCCATGATCAGGAAATTGAACCAACCAAAATATTAGTTAAAAGATGAATGGATAACAAAAATGTGATACATATATAAAATGGAATTTTATGTAGCCAAAGAGAAAAATAAAATCATGACATTTGCAGGAAAATGATTGAAACTAAAAGTCACCATGTTAAGTGTAATAAATCAGACTTAGAAAGACAAATGTTTCATCTTCCTCTCATTATGTGGAACTTAGACTTAAACTTTATTATGTATGATACACATGTATATATGTACGTACTTATACATATGTATTATTCATAGACATGAGTATATATGTATGTATTTATGTGTGTGTGTGTGTGTTTTAGGTCATGGTCCCAGCTAGGGGATCACCAGAGAGGAAGAAGAGATCTTAAGAGAGGCAGGAAATAAGGTAATGTCATTCATGTGATTAGAAAACAGAATGGAGGAATAAATGGAGAAGGAATAGGTGCAGACTAAAATGGAAGAAGGACATGGGGAGGACAGCAGGAAGGAATGAATGACATCTATGCATGAAGATGTCATGATGAAACTCAATGCAGTTTCTCACCGTTTTATGTGGATGACTCTTTCGGTGGGTTTTGGCAGGCTAGTTCAAACACATGCATTCTGCCAGGAGACTGACTGACTGGAAAGTCTCAGATGGCCTTACTTGCATATCTAGCATTTTGGCACCAGCTGTCAGCTAAGAACAAGTTAATTTTTCTCAATTTGGGGAAATTGTGCCTCCGCAAGAATTTGGCAATGTGTAAATAGTTTTGATTGTCACAGCTTTGTAGAGGTTATTGCATCCAATAACTAGAGGTCAGGTATGTTTATGAGCATGCCATAATACACAGATCAGTGTCCCTCAGCAGTAGGGCACCTAGCCTAAAATGTCCATAGTGCTGAGAAGCCCAGGGACAAGTGAGCTTGCATGAGATACCTTCTTTGATCTTTACAATGACTATAACAGATGAGTGACACCCTCATTATCTATAAGTGAGAGAGAGCCACTGTGAGGCAGTAAGTAGCCAACAGGACTACACAGTGGTAAAGGGAGGAGTTGGGTCTAAATTTGCACACGTACATGGACTTTTAAATATCACAGCGGAGCTATGCATTCCACTTAGAATGCTCACCTTCATAGCAGATCTGGTTTTCTAAACACTAAAACCACACCCAGGCAATAGTCTAAAGTTTCCACAATCGTTTCCTTAGACAAATTCCCAAGAAACAAAGCCCAGAGCACGGATTCTGTGCAGATGCTTTATGGAGGAGGTACAATCCTGTGGAGGCAAAACGGAGCAGAAGGGAAAGCAATGTCGAGGAGAACGGGAAGCAGTCAGTGCAAGGTGAGTTGCTCTAGCGGGGACATCTGCCATGATGGGCAGACCTTTCCTAACTGGCTGCTGCAGTGGACAGTCATCTTCGAGTTAGACTTCTGGAAGGAAGAAGGAAGAAAAAAGATTGTGAGTTTCACTGTGCAGTGCTTACCTTCCTGAGATCCACCTGCTGACAATCCAGGGCTCTATCACCTGGTTACTGTAGCAGGGACTTTGGAAGCCACACATCAGCCAAAACTTGATCTTCATAGTCTAAGAGTACTGTGGCTTTGGTGGGGGATTCAAGAAAGTGCTAAGCATTGCGCTTCTTGGCCTTCTGCAGCTACCCAACTACTTCAGCACTGAATTCATTGATTTGACATAGTTAACAGGTTTCCTCACAATTAATTGTCATTCACAGATAGAATTTCTTAGATAAGGGGTAAATGCTAAAAATCAAAGCCTCTTATTATGAGAAGGCTGAAGATCAGAAGAGAGACTGATGCCAAGGTGTAGTGGCGCACACCTAATATCCCAACACGGGAGGCTAGCGAATCACACAGTAAGTATTGGGCTTCACCGTGAGTTCAAATCAAGTTTGAGGGTGTGGGGGAAGGCACGGTGCTCACCTGCTCTGCCTCAAGACCCTGGTACCAATATTTGAGGAAAACAAGCTCCTCTTTATCTCCAGAGTCACCTGTTCCCCAGAAGCAATGGCTCCAGACTTTTCAAATCTCACTCATGTGAAGATATTCCACATTATCTCAAGAATCGATTGCCCAGACCCTTGTTAAAATAGCACTTCAAATGGGTTTCCAGGAAACAAACATGATAATTCAGTTGCAAGAGTGCATCAGCGAGAACAGGACTGGCCTGTGCCCCATCAGGTCACTGCACTCCTAATAAGCTAGCTAGGGACCACATTTTGCTAGTTGGCAGGCACAGAGCACCATTGCCTCATACTGTCCATTAAAGCTCTTCAGATTTGTTTCACACGCTGTAACAAAGGCTTCTCTCCCCATTCCGCCAGCCCCTTGATTGCTTGGACTCAACTCACACATTTGACTTCATTTAATTTATTCCGAGATGACACAATTCTGAGTGTTTACCACATGCACTACTGGGTCTGCCACGTGTGCACCACTGACTGTAGAAAACAAAATGCTGCTAGTTAGAGGGGTCAGCTGACTAGGTAATGTAAGCAAATGAAAGATGGTCAGGTAGGATCCAAATCTGTAAGGCAGGAACTCTGGTGAACTGGGAATTCAGAAGACAGCTTTTCTTAGCTTGGCCTAACTTCTGCCATGAAAAACTGAAGCCCAGAGTTGAGAGGCTTTCTGGCTTGAAAAAAAAAAGTTGGAAATCTGTATTTACTGGATGTACTCCTTTTAAATTCTGGCCCCTAATTCACAAAATTCTAATGTATACTATTGGCCAAAAAAAAAGAAAGACATCTGCAGTTGCAGTTTGGGTTCAGCCTGTGACAGGTTTCAAGTGTGCAAACTTCTCCTGTGGGGAAAGAGGACTTGCTCAGCACTGGTTTTAATTGAGACAAAAATGTAGAATGACTTGTGTTATCTTGGATTTAAAATCATAACATTTATTTTCAATACTCCCCTGTTAATCACAGGCTTGAGCCTCTTAAAACCAAAAAAATCTTCAGGGTTATACTGCTTAGTCTCTTTGTTTTACAGAGAAGGAACAGAAATAAGAAGGCACTTGATTTTAAATAAATTTCCAAGAGAACAAATTTAAAGACTCAGATTCCTAGATATGGAAAGAGTCACACTGGCCCACTAGTTCAGGGTTTTTCAACACGAGCACTGCTGCTGTTGTAGAATAAGTCTTGTTAGGGGTGTGTGGTTTTTACCTTTCTCACCACTGTAACCAAACACCCAACAAGAAGCTGCTTGAGACAGGAAAGGTTTGCTGGGCTCACAGTCTGAAGGGTTCCAATCCATCACGGTCAGGACAGCATGGAGGCAGGTAAGTCCATGGTCGCAGCAGCAGGTCGCTGGGTCTCCTCATTCTTTTAGGTTTCTGTAGGAAGAGATGCAGACAAGAGGCAATGCTGGAGCTCAGCTGGCTTCGTCGTTTTCCCTTCTCATGGTCTAAGATGCTAACCCCAGTTTGCAGGTTGCTGCTGCCCACATGAAGGAGACATTTTCTCTGCTTAGCCTACCCTCTGGAGAGGCTCTGGCAGACACATCCCAAGGTGGGTGTCACTAGTACCAGGTCAAAATGACAGTTAAAATTAACCATACATGTTGGCTGTTGGACACAGTGTGGGATGTTCAGACACATCTCTGGTTTCTATACCCTAGATGCCTGTACTCAGCCCTGTAGTCACAAGTGCCCCTAAAGGACAAAATCACCATTGCCCTTGGAAACTGGCTTTATCTAGTCCCTTCATGTGATAGATTAGGAAAAATAGAATCAGAAAATTGAAGAATTCCCTACCCCAAGAACACCAAAGAACAGAATTATTGGCATGGGTAAGGCCAAGGCTCAAGTCCCTTAATTCTTAGTACAATGATCTCTTTACCAAGTCTGAGTGTCTTTTTTATTACTAACTTTATTTATATTCATTATTATTGTGTGTATATATGGTGTGTGTGTGTGTGTGTGTGCGCGTGCGCGTGTGTGTTGTGTATGTTAGTGCAGGGGTGGGCTTGCATATGGAGATCAGAGAACACACTGCAAGAGTCAATTCTCAACTTCTCTCTTGCAAATTCTAGGAATCAAACCCAGCCACTGGGCTTGCCTAGCAAATACTTTTACCCATGGAGCCATCTCCCCAGCCCTCTAGCCTAAAGATCTTAAACATGAGTCTTTAAATGACTGATCTGTGTAAAAGTGTATGATTCATCTGAAAAGACTGCATGGTCAATGACAAGAGACACAGAGCCTAAGACTGACATGATGGGGAAGTCCTGTGTATATGTCAATAAAGCATTGTTGGCCAATAGGGAAGCAAGATAGGTGGGACTAGGAGTCCAGGAGGACTCTGGGTAGGAGAAACACAGGGAGTCATCATGTAGCCTGCCATAAAAGTAAGATGTCTGTCTGGTAAGAGAAATACTTAGATGGGTTAAATACTTAAGTCAGAGCCAGCCAGTAAGAAACAAGCAAGGCCAACAGCTTCACAATTAATACAGTGTCTTATGTGTTATTTGGGGACTACAACACAGCAGAGCCCAGGTGACTGGTGGGGAAAAACCAAAGTTGCTGGCAAGGAAAAGGCTTCTCTCTACACTGACAGAGTAGGAATCAGGTCTGAGCTCACCTACTTACTAATTATGTGCCACTGACTAAGTAAACCTTCCAAGGATTTATCACTTTACTTGAAAATTAGATTGTAAAAACTATATAATGCTTACCACATAATAGTAAATTGTCATGCTGTTACTATTATTGCTATTATAATTAATGGTACCTGGTATCAATAAACTAGATCTCAAATGATTATCTGGTCTGTTTGTTTTTAAAACCTATGAGCACAGAATGATTTTTATAAGTTCAAATTATAAAACTTAACACTATTGTTGTGACATGAAAACTTTGTACAATTCAAAGATCAGTATCTGTAAGTAATGTTTCATTGGAACACAAGCCATATAAATATATAGAATCTATGACTGCTTCATGCTGTAATATAATTGAATGGTTTGCAACAGACATTAGGTGGTGTGTGGAGATTGATACACTATTTATTCCTTGTGGGGAAAGACATTTATCCTTTAACTAGACCTTCGGTCTCTGTGAAGAAAAAGGATTCAAATTTGCACAGTGACCTCTGGTGTGGGGGAGGTAACATAGCAAATTAATTCTTTATTTCTGATGCCACTTGAGTACTTGTAGCCATTGTATTTAAGATATTTCCCAGGGTCTGTATACACTGAGGCTTTTCAAAAAACATAGGCTCCTGAGTCATCCAAGGGACATGAAAACCTTTACTTTTTATAGACATCCTTTTTTAAATAAATCTCATTGTAAAATTGGTTCTTAGAGGTGTTCTTTCAATATCTGGAATATTTATCAAAAAGAAAGGAAATGGCTTGCTCAGTGTTAAGCCAACTGCATATTTTAAGTGTTCCATGATTTGGACAGGACAATAAAGAGGGATATCCTGGAAAGGGAAAAACAGATAAGAGCTGGCTGCCAAGATTAAAATTTAAGGGATGTTGTCATGGCACTGTTTTTTAATACCTTGAGCATCTTGGTTATCATTTAATCCTACTGTTGTCCAAAAGTTTAAATGATCTGATACCTGCTTACAACCTTCACTTTATCAACAGTTAGATGTGGCCTTCTATAATTAATTTTCAAGTCAAAGCAATTCATATAGTGACTGTCAAACACATTCCCTGGGCATCAGAAGTATAAGGATAAACATTGTCTTCTTAGTAGCTCTGATTCAGTCATTAAAGCTCTTGAGTAAACTCCTCCTTTGACCATAAAAGTGAGTCATTAGATGAAATATCCCACCCAGTTTAAGAAAATTATATTGAGGGCCTTTGCCTATACATACTCTATTCCAATTACCCATATACAGAGTACTTCCACTGTGATTATTCCATTCTAAAGTACATGTACTCTCTGCCCTTTGAAGTAGCTCATGAGATCACTGCTATGCAGAAGGAAACCCACCAAGTTTTCCTGAATGAGGAAGAACAGACTTCACAAGAGAAGCAACAATAGGCAAATTAAAAAAGATGAACTCATTGGTGACGGGGTAGGTTGGGGATGGCATAAAGCCAGACCCAAACAAATTAGGAGTTACAGATGAAGACCGAGCCCAGTCAAGTCAGTATTTTTCCCAGTGGAACCCTAATTCAAAAGCCAGTCCTAAAGGGATGGACAATTCTCAGTAAAATATTGATTCATATTGATTATCTGATGGGCAACAATGAGGTAAGAATGTCTTTTACTGTAGCCTGTGCCACATGTAAACTGAAAAGATTCATTCAGAAGGAGGTGGCAGAAATGAGGCCCACAGTTCCCAAAGGGAAAGGCCTTATGAGTACTCAGCCAGCTGCTGTATCTTAGAAATTTACTCTCAATCGTCAGGACTTTTGCTATTTGGGATTATTCTCAGTTCTCATGCATTTATGGCAGAGGAACTTTGTGTGGCTTGTCAGTTCTGAGGGGTGGGGATCTTGGCATCAAAGAGACGATAGAGTCAGTCACAGAGATGGGGAGGATGAGGAGGCAATGTAAGGGGAAGCAGAGCACGTATGACAGCCTGGAGTACTTGGATCCCTCTAGAGATCCCTCCCTCCCCTTCCTTGTCCTCTAAGTTGCCATCTGCACATGTGTCTATAATGACAATGAGAGCCCCATCACCTCTCATGAGCAGTTTGGCAACAGAAGCAGGATTCACACCCACTGTTTAATGCTTTTTGGGTTAAGCCTAAGTAAATCCCAAACTGTCAGTCCCACTGCAGGAAGAACAGGACTGAGTTAGACCCGACTTCCTCAGGAAGGATCCCTCAACATTCAGACCCTTGAGGAAGTCAAATTGTGGATGCCTCTGGGCCTGATGCAATAACTGCCTCTTCTGCATGCCCCATCATACATGTCTTAGATTCTGAAGGCCTGTCCCACTGTGCCTAGTTTAAAGTACACCTGGACATTGCTAGTGGACCCTCCAGTTCACTTCTCATGACACTCTGGTTTCACTAAATTTCCTGGCCTGCTGTGCCAAACCTCCCCTTTCTCCCCACCCTCCCACACCTAGCCTCCAACCCACTCCTAGCTGCAGTGTGCTTGGGGAAAATTCAATCCATATGTTTCCTCTTGTTTCTTCAGAACGCATCCAGCCATTGTTTAAAGAGGGAGGCAACAGCCAAGAAGAGCCATGGGAGGCCTCTCTTGGCCTTCCAGCCCTTCATTAGGGAGCAGGGAAAAGAGGACTCTGCCAAGAGCAAACCTGAAACATTTCTTTGGGTTCAGTTCAATGCCTGCACATCACGTTCACGCACAAACATGACCCCAGGACTGTGGATGGGAAGCATTCATTTTTCTAAGACTCTCATGGAGGAGGAAGTGGTAAGGTAACATCACCATGGCCTACCTTGGCGATGTCCACTGAGAAGCAATTTACAGGAAGCTGTTCTCCATAGCAACCTATGCCAGCTCTGATAGTAGAAATGCTAGCAAATACCAACACCCACAAATTGAAATCAATGTTTCAGCTCTGTCTCAATCATAGAAGACAGAGGCCATGGAACCTGCCCAAGGTCAACGAGATGACTGGGGTTTCAAGTAGAAACAAGGACTTCTGATTTTCCACCCACAGCTTTGACCCCTGTGTCAAGACCTTCCATCTAGACCTTACACAGATGCTAAGTGCCTGGTGTAGACTTCCTGGCTTGTTCTAGGCCAGTCCTTTGAAGAGACTTCTTTATCTACTCTGGAAACATCTTGGCAGTTGAAAACCCAAGATCCCATGACTCAAATACAACTAGGAAAGCTTGAATGTTATATATCACACCAGGGTTTCAAAAAGCAGTGGTAAAAATCATAGTGAAAATTCAATTTATATTACTATATAATTTCATTACATGAAAAGTTTCTAGAAAGCAAGGTCCTTGTGAGTCTTTTTAAATTATATGTTTCTATCACAAACTCCTTTGACACCTTACGAAGCACATGTCCTCTGTAGTGCTAGGAGTTCTATGAAAACCAACAATATCCACATATTAGTTTTTTCTCCATTGCCCTAAGAAAACATCATGGCCAAGGCAAATTTGAAGAAGGAACAGCTAAGTTTGGCTTATGGCTCCAGAAGGGTAAAAGTCATCATGGCAAAGTAGAAGCCTGGTGGCTAGAACAAAGAGCCAAGAGTTCACATCTTCAAATGGGAAGTATAAAGCAAAGAGAAAAAAAAAGGAAATGGATTCATACTCTGAAAGCCTGCCCCTAATGACATTCCCCATAGTCCACTGTCACCTACCTTTGTGCCATACTCCCCAGACACCCTCTCAGCCTTAACCCACCATGATGTTAAGGAAAACCTTCAGGTAGCAGGAAGGCTACAGAGCTGAGACAGAGTGTAACACCAGGGTGACTGAGGGCAACAGAGGCCATGATGCTAGAGGCTGTGCAGTAGTTGGGAGACAGGAGTGTGGAAAAGACAGAGGCTGACATCATAGCACAATAAGCCCTCAAGGTTACACTGGCTATAGAGCACGGTGACTTCAAAGTCAAGCTATGTAAACCCAAGTTCAAAATTCCACACTGCTAATTGGAGACATTGTTTAACTTTTGACAGTTAACTGTTCTAAGATCTCCACCCATAAAATGATGATCTGCATAAACACTTCCAAGGACAACCTGAGATCATAATAGGCTTGAAGTGTCTCACTCACAATGGCCAACATGCAGAAAATTCCATTTCCTACCCATGAGATGAAACCAACAAAGGCAGGTTGTTGGTCTGATTTTAGCTTGTCTGTTTTGACACCAGATGCTAATTTTCTCTTGAGAACAGTATGTGGAAATCAAAATCACAAAAGCATTAAGTCCACAGGCTTGGCACCACTGAATAGCTCAAAGGGAAAACTCCTCATCTCAGCCAAGAAGCCTGGCTCCACTCTGTTTACATGTACCTTGCCTTGGGTACAAGTGAAGCAAACACAGGTATCAAGATATCATGGAGGTGGTGGACATTGGTCTCTTAGTGTGCTAGTATGTGTGTACAGCTGCAGTCAATTATCCAAACCCGGAATTGTTTTGTTCTTTTGTTCCTGGAGAAAGAAGAATGGATGATGGGTTTTCCTCTTTCATCTTTCAGTATTTTTGTTTTATTTTTATTTCTCATCATAATATTTAGATAGTATTTGTAGAAGGGAACGCAATCATAATAAAGTGGTAATCACACAAAGAGTTCTAAGGCACAGTCACCCAAACCTCCACCTCAGAAATGCTTCATGCAGGCAGCAGGCAGCAGGCGAGGGCATGGGAAAGTGTGCTTACAAGAAGTGGGAAGTGAGCTGTGCCAGTCAGTATCTCTTCCAAAACTCTCCATGTGTCAGATATGGCAAAATAAAACACCCTGAGAAACAGTCAGATGTCCTGGATCCTTCCCAGGGCTGGACCATGCTAAGGCTGCAAGGTGACTGAAAGCAAGGACACACAGCCAAGAGCAAAAATCTCAGTTCATTGCTGTGTAAGGTAACATAAGCCTGTAATCCTAGCATCCAGGAGGCTGATGCAGGAGGAGCACAGCCTCAAGTACCTAATGAGACCATGTCTTAAATAATAATAAAGAAAAGTCTCAGCTAAGGAAGGTAAATATGATGATGATGCAAAGTTTTAAAGTAAAAGATTAATTGTAAAACCTCATGGTGCACAAAATATCAAAAGTGAAGCACACTGCTCTGAGTTTATATGTGCAACTGGCTGTGTCCAGAAAGTGCATTTGCTTGTAGTCACAGACCACTTCTGGCTCTTACACGTTTTAAACCCTTCTTAGACATTGATCTCTGAGACTTGTGAGATGTGTGATGTAAATATTCATTTATAGCTGAGAACCCCACAGTCTTATTCTCTGCTCCTTGGCCAATTGTGGGTCTCTGTGTTAACTGTCATCTACTACAAAAAGGTGCTTCTTTGAAGAGGGCTGAGAGGGGCCTTAACTTAGACTCATTAGGAATGACTTTAATACTATGTCAACTAGCAGAACAATAGCAATAGATTTTCTACCAAGGTTTGTTATTTAACTGTAGGTTCTTGGCCGCAGTAATGGTGCCAGGCATGGGCTTTATCTTGTGGAGTAGGATTTAAATCCAATCAGAATGTGGCTGGTTACTCCTGTGGCATTCATGCTGCCACTATACCAGAAGTGCCTTGCAGACTTGGTTATTATTGTAGTTCTCTGGGTCCACAACTGTGAAATATTGATTATTACTTTGGTCCTTTGTTATCATAATAGAACCTCCTAGCAATTTGATATCTACCCAGCATGGATGAAACTTCCAGGTCAGTACCGACTTGACTTCTCCACATTCTATAACTAAAGTATACAGTGTCTTTGGCAGTGAGTTCTTAATCATCAAGTTTTGGGAGACATCCAAGGTACTGGAAAGAGTCTGTAACATTTGGGAGTATATGGGCCCTCAGTGGTCAACTAAAACCATTCCTGGAACTTGTTTTTCACTTGTAAGCCTGCTGTGTCTAGTAGAGACATTATTGCTCTGTTACAGGGTACCTGCATTTAAGCTCTTTTTATATATGTTAATCTATATGTTTAGGGAAGCTTCTACAATAATAAGTGTCCTTTTTTGAAAAGTCTTCAATGTTAGTTACCCTTCCTCATATTCCCTTCTCAACCATGCTTTCCCATGTCCCACACCAATCTATTCCTTCCTGTCCTATTGTTCATACTTAACCCTTTATGCCACTATATGCCCAAGATCTATACAAGCTCAAAGCAGACAAAATCCCTGTGTGGAGATAGGAGGCAAGCATAAAGTACCACCACAGCTGAAGAGCTACTGGTAATTGATGGATGTGGGAAAGGGGGAATCAGTCTTCTCTTAAGAATGTGGCCCCTGATAGGCTGACCACACTCCCAGGTGTGTATGAGAAGCACCAACTATACTTCATGAACTTTTTTCTTTGTGAAAAAAAATAAAGTTGGGTGAGAGAGAAGGGGATTTTTATTTGGGGGGAGTTGAGGGAGGGGTTAAATATGATCAAAGTACACTGAAATCCTCACCTTGTGCTACAATAGCAAATGGCCTGGCAAGACATGTCCACTAGTGCAATAATGACAGGAATGTCTTGGGAGTAATTATCCACTTTCTGATTAGACTGAAAGCCCATTCAACAAGATAAAAACCCATATCTGGCACCACTATCTATCCAAGAATGTATGGTTAGAGAGATAATAAACCTACTACTATTATTCTGATAAATGTCTGTAGAATTAAACCAACTCCTAATGGCTAATCATTAGCCCCATAGATTAAGGAATCTCAAACAGAAGCTTCTGTCTTCAGTTGATGACAATCAACACAGAGAACACTTGGCCAAGGCACAGAGACTAAGAGACTGAAGAATGGCCAGTCATAAAGTATATACCACATACATGCCTCCACCAGAGGCTCGAGGATCATTGCAAAAAAATGGGCCAGAAAGAGTGTAAGAGCCAGAGGCAGTGAGTGACCACAAGGAAACAATATCTTCTGGAAACACCAGGGCAACTGCACATATGACTCAGAACAGTTGTGACACCATGCATGAGACCTGTACAGGTCCAACCAAGCCAGACCAAATCCCAGAACGGAGAGACAAATTGAACACAACCCCTAGCCAAGGAGCTATCAGCAGTTTTTAGCTGCTATGAAAAGAAGGATCAAGTTTTGGCTAAGAGCACATCCCCAAGTAAGTGGACCATACCCCGGTGGAAGGGCACACACTGAAGAATATTTGGGCATCACAAATTGGCCTTGATGGAGGGGGGAAGAGAGAAAGTTGGGTGTAAATCTATAAGAGAGGGAGAGGAAATGCGAAGACAATGAAAACATGTTGTATGAAATTCTCAAAGAACTAATAAAAATAGCAAGACTGACATGCTAATCATCAGTTAAATAAGCACTAAGATTGCATAACACTTTAGGAAAGTCAGTACCACTGAGAAAAGTAATAATGATACTTTAGTCATAAAGCAAGGCTAGCACTGAATCTAGAAAACAATAGATGGAGTAAATAAAGAAAAATAAGTAGGAAGTAAAAGCTGTATGGAACAAAAATATGAAAACTGTACATATTTCAAATACATTATTTAAATGCAAACATGACTGATCATCTTTTAAAAGAAAATCCCTTGCTTTGAAATTTGGGAATAAGATCGAGAGTCACGAAATATTCATTTCCTTTGACCCACCTCTTGGTCTAATCAGCGCAATAACCCACTTATGAGGTCATAGTCAAATATGCCACTAAATACACCAAAGATTATACTTACAGGAATTTGTTATAAGTACAGCCAAAATGTGGGAAAGAGTCGATTGTAATAGAGAAAAATCTTAAATAAGTCTCAAAGGAACACTATCTAGTAATTTAAAACAACGATTATGATGCCCAAGCAATTAAAATGATTAATGGACTATTTAAGGTGAAAAATAGGATACAGTTTATGCACCACACCCAAGAGCAGCAATAATTAGTGGCCACATTGAATACATTCATGAGTAAGAAGTAGACAATAGTTTTGTTGTAGAAATAGACCAATAAAGGCATATTTTAATTAGCTGAAATAAATAAATAAGAACACAAAGTTTTGTGGGTATGGGATAGGGGAGGGGGCTGGGAGGAGGTTAGTAGGGTGAATATAGTCAAACTACAAGGTATGAAGTGCTCAAAGATTCACTAAAACATAAAAAAAGAATTGTCTTGCGGTTTTGAAAATAATTAAATTAAGTGGAAAAATATATGCACCATACTAACAATCAAACAGTTATGTACAAACTGCATACTGAAGATAAAAGTAAACATTTCAAAATTCCCATAATTTAAATTTTAAATGGAAATTCTTGTTCTTTCCTTCCTTGTTTCCACTTTTCTTTCTTCCTTCCTTGCTTTCTTCTCTTCCTTTTCCTCTTACTTCCTTTTTCCTTCCTTCCTCCCTGTCTTTTTTTCCTTGGTTTTAGGAATTGTGTTGCATACTTTATTTTCCAAGGTCTAGACGTAGCTGGAGTGAGGGATAGGAAGAAAGGTAAGCCAGAAGCGAGAGATGGGGAGAGACAGCCCAATCTTCCTCCCCCTACTAATCTCCTGACAGCCACTTCCATTGACTAAACACAGCTGAACACCATAGGAAAAAAACACAGGCTCTGAAAGTCATCCTCGAGGATCACAGAGGGTGTGAGGAAAAGGAGAAGACTGAATCTGAAAGGAGAGCAGAAAATGTCTTAAAGTCATTGGTATTTTATTCCTAGCATGGAAAAATGCATATAGAAAATAAATTGATAGGAGCCTTGGGAATGCAGTAGGTAGTGCCTCGTTTCCTAACAGTAAATTGAAATCAAACCAAAACTTATTTCCTTCAGTAGTCAAATGCAGTTTAAATAAAATGCAAACGTGAAATAGTGATGACACAGCATCCTAGGTAATGTCTGTGCCCAATACCAAACAAGGTGCCCAGGGCACACATCTTCAAAAACATTTACTCAAGGAACAAACAAATACTGTAGGAAATACAGAAGTTGAAAGCAGCTAGATTATACAAAGAAAGCAATACTGACCACTTAGCCAT